ACCGAAGACAGGAGAGGGTGAGTTGTTGTTGCTGTTGCCGGGAGGCGAAGGGCGAGGGGTCACCGGTTTCCGGAGGGGGATGGCCGCCGGTCACCAAAACGAGGAAAGATTCATGAAAGCTTTTACGCTGAATGTACGATTCAAAGCTTGGCATCGTTCCAGCGCGTAAAATATCGAGATCCAAGCTGCGTGGTCGTGACTGTAGAGGTATATCAGGCACCGCCTCTCATCCACCCTCCCCGTGACGTGACACGGGCTATCAGGAGGCAGGGGATCCCCGCGCCAGGGCCACCAAAACAACCTTCCAACCGTGATGCCATGTGCTTCAGTGAAATTGTTAATCGTGCGTCATTTCACTCTCCACGGAAATCAGCATTTCGGAGCTTTGTGTGGTTTTATTTATCTTGTGACGATCCCTTCCAAGAACGCTTTCGTCACCTCTCCGAGGCGTCTCCGTCATAAACCATTTCCAGGCTCTTTTGTACAATCTGCCCGCACCTAAAACTAGAAAGGGCGTTGTCTTAACTGTTTTCTCACGCTTTTTACACCCTCGAACCGCTTTCCATGGACAGACGTGCGGGTTTTGCTGCCTAAAGCCCCCCACGGGGCAGTCATTTGTGAGGAGAAGTGCTGCTAGCTACTGCTCGGGCGCAGGAGTCCTGAGGGTGCCATGGCCTCTCTCCAATCGCCGCTACAACCAAAGCTGGTCTTCCTCCTCCTCGTTGCCGTACTCTGTAGACATACCAGCTATGCTTTCGTCTTCCCTTCGCATTTAACGGCCTCGCTAGGATCTGGAGGACCCTCGCAACTCCTTCCCGCCCTAAAGCCGGCGACCCTCCCGTCGGCCCCCGTCGCACACCCCCTCCCATCCCTGCACTATCTGGACCTAAATCGACGAGAAGACACAAAGGTGAGGGGTATTTTGAGTATGTTCAGTTATTTACGGATTTTCTTGGCAGAGGGCATTCGAAGTGGCTTCCAGGAGACCCCATGCTTGTATCACTCCCGTGGCATGAGAGGACTAGAACGGCCTCAATCGGCACCTTACAGATCACTATCAGTGCCCTTTGCGTCCTTGAGAAAGCATTTGAGAGATGTGGCGGTCCACCGTTTGTCACGTCCATGGCCGCAACCGCTGACGCAGGACTTTCGACGCTCGAGTCCTCTCACTTTTTCCCTGATCAGCCGGCCCTACTATGATTGAACACTTTGAATCC